TATGCTAAAATTATGTCGTATCTAGATATATAAAGTTGCACCTAACCGGAATTATATGTATGAAGATCTAATTTCAGAGGCTTAATTTTAGTCAGATCAGACAACTTTATATATCTAAAGTTGCAACTTCAGATATATTTTCTCAAAAATTGCACCTAAAGCAACGTAAAAAATAATTGCTAACAAAAAATATAAATATGAATTTAAAAAGCTATACACTATAAACTAGCTAATATTAATTCTAATAACAATTAATAGTTATTCATTAGCCCACTTATTAACCCATTCTTTAGCTTTTTCCAAAACCTCATTAACCTTTTGATCATCATTACCAATTTCTTTTTTTAAAGCTTTTTTGGATTTTTCATAACACATTTCACATTCTTCCTTAAATGTTTCAAACATTATAATTTCCAAATACGCCATTGCTAATGCCAAACATAATAGTTTCTCATTCCTAATTCCAATAATTTCAAATTCTTTAAAATCATTTTTACCAAACCAAGAATAAAACTTATCAGATGGTAAAAATGAACCGTCAAATGATTGGAAATTGAGAAAGCTATAAAGTGTTTCGATTTTTGGAGGTTTCATTTTTACAGAAGTGGTTGAAAAGGCTGATATAGTAGAATCATTATATGAAACGCCAGAAGTGGAATATCGCATTGCAGATTGAGAAATATAAGATAATGTTGGGGCAGCATTGGGGGACATGAAATATGAAATTTGAGATGTTGGTGCTGCACATAAAATTTTACCGACATTACTGTTCACTATTTCAATAATTATGTTATAAAATCAATCTAGTTTTATAAAATAATACAATTCTTATTATATAATCAATAACTTACGATTAATATTAGCTTGTTGACGATGAATTGGTTGAGAATTAAAAGCATGCTGATGATGAATTGGATGAGAAGTAAGAGCCTGCGGACGATAAATTGGGAGAGAATTAAGTGTCGCACTAGCTATAAATATATATATAGTTCAAAATTTAACTTGAATTAAAATAAAATCATTCATATTACATAATCTATTAAGTGCAACGTACCAAACGGAGCAGATGGCCTAGTTGGAATGATACACCGTTTACGAATATTTTGTGCTTCAGCTACTGCTTTATTATCTCTTTCATCAATTGCAAGGAAACTGATTATACAATATTAATACAATTATTATTGACTATTAATATAATTTATTAGAAATTTATATAAAAAATTACTTTGTATATTTTGAAGCCAATCTATACATAATTCCTAATTTAACAATTTGCTCACGAATAAGTGAAATTGGTATCAATTTTCCACTATTTCTTGGGTGCTTATGAATAAATGAAGTACCATCATCAAGATCTTGAATAAGCTTTCTAGCTGCAAGTGTGTGTATTTTTGATCCTTGTAAAGTTACGGGATCTAATGGGATAGAAAGCTTCATTGGACCATCATGAGAAGTTGCACTCAATGTAATTTCTTTACAAGCCTCAACACCTTTTTCTAAAATGCAATAAACTATAAATCGAACACCAGGATAAATTGGTGGAATAACAAACGGCGCCTGTTGAATTTTTACGTCTGTAAAAAAAATTTGAGCAACTGGTGGAGGTGCAGTGTTATCGCTAAAGAAGCTAATTGTTGGTTTATCTACATCTACTGACTCAGTTTCTTTAGGTAAAGCATCCTCGATAATTTGATTAGTCCAAGTAATATTATAATCCTTAATAGGAGGTTTTATGGCATTTTTTAGCATTCCAAGAATCTTTTTGTCCATTCGTTCATTATTTGTAACAAATTGTGCATAACCTTTACCAGCACGGGCAACTGATTCAACTAAGCCATGAGAAACAGAATTTCCAATCCCAATTGAGAAGACCCTTACATCATCTTTCTTTTTTTCTTCACTAGATTTAATAAGTTCTACAATCTGATCGACATTATTAACAAGACCATCAGTCAGAAGGAAAACAGAAGTTGGCATATCATTCCTTGAATTTTCAAATGCCCATTTTATAGGATTATAAATTTCAGTTCCTCCATAATTTGCAGCCATTTCTTGAGCATGTTTAAGAGCTTTTGAAAAAGAATTTTCGGAATAAGGTTGACTCTTTTCAAATAGAGAGTCAAAATGAGATCCAAATGATATCACATTAAAGTAACAATCTTCAGGTAATGAACGAAGCAGTAATTGGAGTGCTTCAGAAGCTTTTTTCATAGCCCCACTTTGCATTGAACCGGACCTATTAATTACAATATCATAAATTTATGAAAAATGTACATAATCATATATATATTAAATAATTGCATTTAAAATTTACCTATCAATAACGAAAATCAACTCTGAAATTATAGTATTAATAGCGAATTTTGGCACCAAAGTTAGCATAATACAATTTGTTTCAGTTTGGGGATTGTATTCGACAAAAGCTCTTGAGTAAGAGAAATAGAAATAATTGTAAATACATATGTATTACAAATAATATTAATTAATACAATATGGACAAAATTATTACCTTGGTTGATCAAGGCCTAGACTTTTAACAACGAGTATAAAATCTTTTTCTAAATAAGTTATTTGTTCTGCTAGAGTAATCTTTGAAACATTCGGATTACCATCAATATTTAATTCAGTAGAAATATGATGTGATGGTGATTCAATATTTTGAATAACTGAAGTCATCCTGCATGTAATAGCAAGATCTAAATAATAGGTTGCCTCAGATGAATAAGACATTGCATCAGGAATGAGTTTTTTCCTATCATTTGCAGGAGAATAACCGGATGAACCATATCGTGGAGCGATAGCCGTAGGAAAAACAAATCGAACTTTTTCAGTTTCAGCATCATGTTTTAGTTCAGTTACATATGTAATTTTGATAATAATAGTTTGACCAGCCGTGATATTGCCAATAGAGCATTGGAAAACGTCTGATTGATGCTCTTCTAATAAATAAGCGCCTTGACCTTGCTATTTAAATTGTAATAAACCAATTTATATTATGACATTTAAATATCATTTTAATTTTGCTTTAGATTACCTGGATAGCCTCATCATATTCCTTTGCAGCCTGCTTAGACTCTTTAGCTATTCCTTTAATTTTTCTTTTTCCATCAATTTCTGCTTCAAATTTGCATACAGCTGTCGCTTCATGAAGTGGAAATTTGTAAATAGCTTCAATTGTATTTGACTCAATATTTTTATAAGTTTGGCAAACCGTTGCTGGATTAAATAAACAAGGTGATTATTAGAGTTGTTATGATAAGACTATCCAATACTTTTAAATAAGTAAATTAATTACTTTCGGCTATCATATCAACAACTAATAGAATTTAGTATATATAGTTAGTTTAAGCAGGAATTCAAGTTATCGAAATCATTAAAAAAACTAAGGGAAACTTTACTATTCGCTTCAACGGAAACATTCTGTAAAGGAATAGGGTAATATTGATAATTTACGAAGTAGATAAGTCCGTAATATTGCATGGCTCAAAAAATTGTCGAAGAAAGTTTGAGTAGTAAGCACAATTTGTAATTTAACGGTAAATTGGTAATATATAAACGGTTACACGGATTCGTGAATACGTATTCGTCTTCATTAATCCTGATTTTTTAGGAATCCGCAGTATATGCAGAACCAGTGTCTGAAATTTGTAGCGGAGTTTGTAAAGTGCATATGCGGATTTCGCATATAAATTTGTAAAATTTACCTATAAAATGTTGTGCGCAACTAAATTTTTATAAATTTTTATAATCTGCAAGTAGTTTTTTTTTTTTTTTTTTTGTCGTGAGACACACCTAATTTAAAAAGTGAATTTCAGACACTGCGCAAAACATCAAAGTATATGTACGTATATACTACCGTATTAGCTTTAAAAGATCCCTAAAAAGGAAATCTCTATAATAAGGAATGACAAGAAATAAGACTGGTGTTAAATAAAATAAAATGTAATGCCTAATAGGATAAATTCGCATAAAGTTCGGCGCTGTATGGGTTAACTAGTCAAGGAAATATAGTAGATTATGAGTTAAGCGAAACCAATAAGAAAGGAGTATCAAGTATGAACAGTAACAAACGATAACGATATACCTGATGTTCTAAAAGCAGTCCTTTTATTTTATTTTTTTTAATGCAAAGTATATCTGTTCTGTGTCGTTTTTCGATTTATTTTACTTCGAAATTTGACGCATATCATTTGTAAATTTAAAAATAACATATGTTATTTCCAGTTTGTAGAACTATGAAAAATATAAAAATTTTAGATTCGCACATTAATTTTATGCATAAATGTTGCTTCGATTACAAATTTCAAGGTAAGAACGAAAAAGAAAAAAATCAAAAGAAAAATATTAACAATTTGACGCTGATTTCATAAAACACATCACCATTTTTTTGTGCATAGTAAATTATTTTTTTTTGATAACTGCAGGTTTTAGTATTGTAGCTTGTTTTTTTATCAATGGCAGCAGTTTTTTGATTTGTTTACTTAGACTGGTTGCTTCTTGGTGAAAAAAAGTATTTGGGTTGAGTCAATAGAAAATAAGCAAATATTTTTTAAAAAAAAAACTTCAAACAATAATAACTTAACAAAACTTAATCAGATTTAATAAATTTTTTTTTAAAATTAATTCTACATGCAAAAATTTAAAATTTTTTTAAATTTGGTCAAGGTTCTGTTAAGTTGTTCTTATTTAAAGTTATAAAAAATTTTTTTTACAATAATTTGCTTGATTTCTATTGACTTACCCTCATTTATTTCATTATTAGTTCTTTGATTATCACTATAATTTTTTTTTTTAAAAAAAACTAATTTAGTGGTAAATAAAATTTATTAATTTATTTACTTGTATACTTTAGAGTTTTTGCTATTTATTTGGTTTGAAGATTGTAACAAAGTTTTACTTAAATATAGCTTGCTACAATGAAATTGTAGTATTTAAAGAAACCACATCAAGGTCAGGGTAATCAGATATTTCCAACAGCTCAAGCTCACTTGCTGGGTGCCAGTTATCAAGAGTTCCAACTTGCATGCAACTTGATAATAATCATGATCAGACTTTTTTTGAAGAATTTTGCAAGACAATATTTATTGCTGCATCTTTAACTTGTCAATTAGGGTTGCGATCCAAACTCTTTTTTTTAGTTACAGCGTTTCTACTTAGTTTGGGTTTGGGAATCGGTATTTCTACCTAGTTCTGGTTCATAACCAAAACCAAAATATGTATCCCATTTCGGTAAATAGTGTCAAACTCAAAATGTCAATTAATTAAATAAATATTCGACATTTAATAGAATAATCTTTAAATTATTCAACAAATCCGACTTTTATATCCATGTTTAAATATTGATAATCTAAAGATTGAATCCAATGGGTGGATCAATTATCGATTAATTAAATATTGGGCGTAAGTTGGAGAAGTCTGAAAAATACATGAGTTTTTGGTTTCTATGGGTTCATTGTCTCTCTCTTTTTTTTTTTTTTTTTTTACTTATTACAGTTATGTAAAAGCAATAGTTTTTCTAATGGTAACGATAAGATAATAATAATAAAAGTATTTGCTCAACATCAATCGAAAATCAGTATTTCAATTATTGCAACGCTTGAACGTAAAAATAATTACAAGTTATTACATTGAGGAAGATACTTGAGAATATGTCAATTTCATTATCATTTGCTCTATTAATCTTTACCTAACGGATGAGCACTATTACGATCATTAACTATTAATAGAATATGCTACTTGAGAACACCCATAGTTAAGCCAATAACTTGAGTGCTGCCAGGTAATAAACAAGCATAATTCATATTCATCGTTAAAATTTAGGAAGAAATTGATTATCAGATAATATATGGAACGAAGTGCAACGAAGAATATGATTATATCTAAACGCTTCTGACCTTTCGTATAATTTCACCTTGAGATTTCTATATAAAATCGAAGTATTCGATGTGTGCATGAGTTTAATGATATAATAAGAGAATGCAATCGAAATGTGTGGATCAAAGACATAATATTAGGAACGGAGTGCAACGAAGTGTATGGTTACCTAAGGAGTGAAATGGTGAGCGCAAACTCGTTCTTCTGATTGGTCATATTTCCACCACACGACATCGGGGTTATTAGAATGATCATCCTAAAACTAGCTATTAAAATGATGACTTTCACATTGTAACACTAACCATAATGTGCTTTTCTAATACGAATTTTCACACCCATAAAGAGCCTTTATAATACGAACATTTATCACCCTAACTCAAATTGTAGAGCTGTTAGAATGATCATCATCCTAAAACTAGCTGTTAAAATGATTTTATAATAAACTTCACATCCTAACACTAACTATATAGAACTTTTATAATTCGAACTTTCTCACCCTAACACCAATCATAAAAAGCTGTTATAATTTACGTGTGTTATCAGGATAAATTATTTTCAGTTACAGGTAGGGTTAAAAAAAAACGGTTTAAATAGTTTTTAGATTTTTTTAAAATCTTTAAAAAAAAAAACTTTTAAAACATTGGCGCTGAGACTAAATTTATTAGGGCTAAAACGCCGATTCTGATTGGTTTGCTAGAATCATCAGGTTTCATAGAGATAACTTTTAAAGAAAAAATATACACTTTATAACCTTTTGTTTATTTCTGATTTAACTAGCTGTTTAACTATCTGTATATATATATATATTTTGTATGTTCCTTCTAATTTAGATACATAACTATACATTTAATTATAATCATCTAATACACCATATTGAGATACATAATAAATTTTAATATGTAATACAAACCATTTTAATACAAATATTAAATGCTAGCCCTAAAGAGCGGTTTCCTTTTTCATTCTAGCTTTAATTTCATGCCACGCTTGAAAGTTGTTTAAAACTCATATGACTGTCATCTTTATTCATCACTGCTGGTTTACTTTAATCTCTATCATGTGTAATATTGAAGAAATCTACATATCACCATCACTACAATAGATTTTATATTGTAAAATAGGTTAATCTTACCTGTCATTAAATGACGCGTTTAACATCTAATAACAAGCTGTTATAATTAATCTTTCAGAAATCCATTCCTTGTTTTGTGCAATTGCATTGCACAGTTACCTTATTCTATAATGTCATATAATATGTTAAATTTCCTTGTTTAGTCATTGTTTTAAATATAAAAACTATTTATGCTTTTTAAATTTGTGATATTTGTTCCATCCTATATTATCGATTTATGTATTATATGCAGGCCTACTGAATAATTAATTGTAGGGCAATTAATTGCAATTTTTCAAGTACAATTAATTGATTGGTGATGCAATCACAATTGGTCAATTAATTGATTGGTGATGCAATCACAATTGGTCAATTAATTGCAATTTTACATAATTAGATAATATCGTATATTTACTACGGTATAATTTTTAATTTTTTGCTGTTTAAAAGATCGGGTTACACTAGTAAAGAAAAATTGAATTTAATTGTAATTAATTGCAATTATTTTGTTATTAATTGGCTTTAATTAATTTTATGATAATTTTAATTTAATTTATTTTTTTTTAAATTCCCCATGATGCGTGCTCCACATCTGAGACACAGGTGGCATACTTTATTATTTCAAAGTCTTATACATTATATTACAAGAAATCATTGGTTACACATTTAATTGCTATGTACATCATCTGTGAGGCTACCTCATCAGGTGTTCCCTAGCCCTTCCATGCCACATATTGATAAGTCTACCACTTCTGTGATATCCTAGGCCCCTATTCCCATGGTGTAGGACCCTGCCTTGAGTGGTCCACAGTTCCTTATTGCCACAGCCCTAATTTTCTGTATTTTTCTATATTCAGCAATTGTACACTTTCCCCCAATTCTGTACAATGAAGTTCTGTTACTATAACACAAGTAGTTTTGTCCAAACTGTTACTAGTGGGATTCAAAATCAGTACTATAGTCAAGCTAGCTTGGGGTGCAACAACTCTACAACTACTCTAAGTCGCCACACCCTTAGTTGCAATAAATAAATTTAGCTATTAGTAATTTTATCTACTAACTTAATTTATATATCAATTAGATTTTATTCTATTTGAAAATAAGATTTTTTCTATTAGTATGAAATTTATTAAAGTAATAATTTAAGATAAATTATCAATATACTTTATTTTTGTATAAAAAAATAAATAGTAAAAAAGTACAAGTCACTTGTAATAGATAATAATTTTATTATTTTAATAAAAAAAATTTTAACTTAATATATAATGCATAAAATATAACTTAATTTTACTTAGATTTACATATAATAAATCAAAAATTTGTAATATATAGTAAGTAATTATATAAATATAGAACATTATTTTTGGTAAACCCTGTACTGTGTGTACCCTTTGCTATAATTTTACTATAACTCAAAATTTTACTAAAGTAACCCTGTTGTGTAACTAATTAAAAGTGATCATCTTACAATTTTATACTAAGTCTAACACTAACT